GCTGGCAGGGCTCCGGTTTGCTGCTGCATGTTTGTCTTCGCCGCCCCCAGCGGCTGTCCTGGGACATTCTGGGCAGGCCCGCATGCATATGTTTTTCCCTGTCTCTTTTTCTCTCTCGCTCTCGCTCTTTTTTGTTCGATCTCTTTCTCTCTCTCTCTCTCTCTCTTTTTCTATCTCTCTCTCTCTCTCTCTCTATCTCTCTTTCCTTCTCTCTATTGCTGTTTTTTTCTATCTCTCTCTCTCTCTCTCTCTCTCCCTCTCCCTTTCTGACTCCCAGTTGTTTTACGCATGCGTCGTCAAGACGTCCCTGAACCATTTGTTCGGCTTCATCGTTTTTTGTATACACAGACCAGCTCGGACAAGCACCATAAACAGACGCGTTCAGAAAAGAGTTCAATCTTCACCGCGGGACAAAACAGGGCGACCCATTGTCATCTTTTTTATTTAACGCATTACTTGAACTTTGTATTTGGTCGCGCGAAAAGAATTGGACCAAAAATTACTCCGACGGTAGGGCCCCACATGAAAACCTGTTTAGCTTACCCTTTGCCCTTTCCTCCTCCCCCTGGCGGACATCCTCTCCTCTCGCCCTCTGCACTGCCCTCTCTTCCTCCTTCTATTTCTCTTCCTCCTTCTCCTCCTCCTCCTCCTCCTCCTCCTCCTCCTCCTCCTCCTCCTCCTCCTCCTCCTCCTCCTCCTCCTCCTCCTCCTCTCGCGCCACCTCCTCCTCGTCGTCGCCCTCCCCCATGCCCCTTCCCTCCTCATCCTCCTGCCTCTTCTCCATGTGCACCTCCCGTTCCCCCTGGTCGTGGCAAGCAACTCGATTTTCCTCGGCGCCGTCGCCGCGTCGGCCAGCACGCGCGCGTTTGCCGACGGCTAGATCGCGAAGCCGTCGGGACAACCCTTCGGGCCAGGCCGTTGGGACAACCTCGCAGGCCGCAGGGGCGCGGGAGCCAGCCGTTGGGACAACCCCGCGGGCATCCTGGTGCGCGCCGCGGCGCTCAGGCGGGTGGCAGCACGAAGCCCAGCTCTGCCGCGAGCTGCTCCGCCTCAGCCCTGGAGTCCACCGTTCTCTTGTCGAATTCCTCGTGCGCCTTCCGCAGTGACGCCGGCGGCCCGCGCTCCAGGAATTCTCGCACGGGCGGCCGCAGGATCAGCATGTTCCGCATGCACGTGGCGCGGGAGAACATGACGTAGAGGTGCAGCCACCACATCTCGTCCGACATGCCCGTGCGGCCAGCGTTCTCATCCTTGGCGCAGTCGATGGTGACGCCCTTGCGCAGCGTCTGGCCCTGCGACAGCGTGGAGGTCAGGTAGGACGCACGCGTCAGGGTGAACCCCGAGCTGCGCACAGCGTGCGCCCCCGAGCTTTGCCACGTGAACTCCTGCTCGTTGGGCCTGAACATGAGCAAGCTCCTCGCCCGCGCTTCGGCCTCGGCGTCGTCGGCAGCGCCGTCGGCGCCCTGCTGCAGCACCCCGGCGACCTCCTTGTAGATCGGGGACTCCTGGAAGCCGCGCACCTGCAGCCAGAGTCCCTGCGGTAGGTAGCGGGGGCGGAAGAGCTGGCCCGGCGCGCACTCCTCGTAGTCCCGCTCGTCGTCTGCGTGAAACTCGAAGGACACGATGGTGGCCCGTTGCTCCCGCACGAGCCCCAACTTCTTCTTCAGTTCCTCCTGCACGGCCGTGAACCGGACCTCCATGCCGACGTGTGCCGGTAAGACGCCGTGGATGTCCCCCGTCTTGTGCATGTTCGGGACGTTCAGGAGGCGCCGGCCTGCGTCTGGGTCGCTTTGAATCGTGCCGCACTCGTCTACGGCCTGCAGGAAGACGAGGGGGACGCCGACGCGCCGCGCGTCGCGACGAGCGCGCGTGTTGATCCACCTCGCCAGCGTCTCCCAGTAGATGCCCATGCCGTAGCCGAGCCGGAAATTCTCGTTCTGGTGCCGTCATTCGGAAATTCCCGATTCGGCCGAGGATGGGTTACCACCCCCGGCCCGGACGCAAGGGTTCCCCCCTGCGCCCGATTCGGCTGACGATGGGTTCCCACCGCCAGCCCGGAGACAAGGGGTTACCCCTGCCCCCGATTCGGCCGAGTATGGGTCACCACCCCCAGCCCGGACGCAAGGGGCTACCCTTGCGCCCGATTCGGCCGCCGATGGGTTACCACCGGCGGCCCGGACGCAAGGGGTTACCCCTGCCCCCGATTCGGCCGAGGATGGGTTACCACCCCCGGCCCGGACGCAAGGGTTTCCCCCTGCGCCCGGCCGCCGCTTCGGCCGAGGATGGGTTACCACCCCCGGCCCGGACGCAAGGGTTTCCCCCTGCGCCCAGCCGCCGTCGTCCTCCTCAATTCCTGTTCCCTGTCCTCGTCCTCCTCCTCCTCCTCCTCCTCCTCCTCCTCCTCCTCCTCCTCCTCCTGCGCCTCAGCTCCAGCTCGCATGCTTCGAGTTGGCTCAGCGCGGGGACTCCCGCGGGGACAGACCGGCGGGTTCCCGCTTGTGACTTCCTCGCGAGTCACTCACAGACGAGGCTCCCGCCTGATACATCCTCCTTATTCAAGCCCTCCGGAGGCCAAAAGTGACGAGAGCTACACGTTTTGAGTGACCCGCCTCGGATTAAAAACATGAGGTGCGGGCCCCATAGGGGGAGGCTTCCCGCATGAGACTTCGTCACAATTCACTCACAGACGAGGCTCCCGCTTGATATTTCCTCCTGATTCACGCCACAGGGGCCCAAAAGTGACGAGAGTTGCACGTTTCGGATGACCCGCCTCGGATTAAAAACATGAGGTGCGGGCCCCATAGGGAGAGGCTTCCCGCCTGAGACTTCGTCGCAATTCACTCACAGACGAGGCTCCCGCTTGATATTTCCTCCTGATTCACGCCACAGGGGCCCAAAAGTGACGACAGTCACACGTTTCGGATGACCCGCCTCGGATTGAAAACATGAGGTGCGGGCCCCATAGGGAGAGGCTTCCCGCCTGAGACTTCGTCGCAATTCACTCACAGACGAGGCTCCCGCTTGACACTTCATCCAGATTCTCGCCACAGGGGCCCAAAAGTGACGACAGCTACACATTTCGAATGACTTGCCTCGGATTAAAAACATGAGGTGCGGGCCCCATAGGGAGGGGCTTCCCGCCTGAGGCTTCCTCACAATTTACTCACAGACGAGGCTCCCGCCTGATACTGCCTCCATATTCAAGCCAGGGAGTGAGTGATGACGAAATGATGAGTGGGTGAATGATGATGATGATGATGATGATGATGATGATGATGATGATGATGATGATGATGATGATGAGTATGTGGTGAATGAGTGATGATGATGCTGATGATGATCGTGATGGCCACTGAGTGGGTGGTCGAGGGATTATGATGGAGATGGTGACGATGATGTTGAGAGTGGCGGCGGTCCTACCGTCGGAGGACCACTGCCTCCGAAGCCTACTGAGGATGAGTGAGTAATTGAGTGAGTGAGTGGGTGATCGAGTGGTGATGATGGTGACGATGATGATGATGATGTTGAGGATTATGATGATGAGTAGTGATGAAGGATTATGATGATGAGTAGTGATGACGGTGATGGTGGTTGATGGTGATGATGATGGTAATGATGATGAGTGTGTGCGTGTGATGACGATGATGGTGGTTGATGGTGATGATGATGGTGATGATGGTGAGTGTGTGTGTGTGAAAAAATAGGAAAGGGGGGTGTGAGATCCTGCGCGGCGTGTGCAGAGAAAACAAGAACCCCACTTTGGATGTGGGGAAATATATGTTGTTCAAAATTGGACCCGTTGGACGGCACTACGTTGACCAATTTACGTTTTGCAGATGACGTGCTTGCCGCGGCGAACGCGTTGCACCACATAGAGCAGAGGTATACGACATCAAGCGGGCTACAGCATCAGCGGGATTATCTTTACATCCAGAGAAGCCACAGTACCCACAAATACCACGAAGAAGTCAGGGAAGCAAGCCACACAAAGGGTACGCATTGACGACTCCGTAGCCATTTTGGCTCAAGCTTGTGTTCAAGCCATTCCCGAGCCTCTGCGGGCAATCTCTCCCCGGCCCTCTGCGGCAGATCCGGGTGCCCCGCAATGGCGCTTGAGGAGGGCAAGTGGACTGACTGGGTGGTCGTTGGCTTGATCATGCTGTTCCAGTGGGTGCTCGAGTTCGTCGTGCTGGCCCGGATTTGGAAGCTGCAGGTGGTTATCACATTAAATGTTTTAAACAACATGTCTTTTGTCGATACGTGCAAGGAGAGCGTCCGAAACATATTCACCAACCTTGTCATCGTCGCCGCTTTGATCATGACGATTGCGTTCGCTATGCTCTTCTTGTACGACCACGTCAAAAATATTGACGATAACGACGATGGTCAGCGTTTGACGGCTCATGCCTTTATCGCATTCACGGGGTATGCTTGCATTCAGTCAATGAGGGCCATGGTGGAATGTATCCTGAATATAGTCTACACAGAGATGCTCACCAGTCCCGAGATCGTTCGATTCTTAATTGCGGGACCGGGCGCAATCGGCGCTCCTGTCATAGCAATCGTGTTCAGCGTTGTCAGCATACTGTGTGCAAGCACCCTGTACATCTTGTCGATCTACAGCGTCGCTGCCTCCGTTCTCTTCGGCTGCCTGTCTTTATCTCGCCTGATCTCCATCGGCCATTTCTGGCGCAAGCGCTCCAAGTTCACCACCAACCGATCCAGCAAGCACTCCAGCAACTGGTCGTGGGCCGAGGACCAGGAGGCAGCCCCGCCGTGGTCCATCGCAAAGAAGTGCAGCGAGAATGAGATCGCCATCATGCGCCGACACGCCCGCCAGGCGAAGGAGGAGGAGGAGGCGTCGGGGAAGGTGGCTGCCGTGGCTGCCCAGCCGCCGGAGCAGCCGAACTTGGCCCAGCGGCGGCGCGGGGGCGCCGACCACATGGGTCGCTCGAGGCGCGGTCCGACAGGATTTTCCGTCTGAGCCAGGGGCGAGGAGGAGGAGGAGGAGGGGGAGGAGGAGGAGGAGGAGGAGGAGGAGGAGGGAAGGGAGAACCTAGAAGCCACACTTCGAGTCACTTGTCTGGCAGAAACTCATCAAAGATTTTTCTTCCGCTCGACGGCGACGCGCGTGCATCGGCGCTCCGTGGCCGCCCCTCTCGCCTCCTCCCTCCCCTCCGGCACGCGGGCTCACTCGCCGGGCCCGCGCCCCTCCGCGGCCGCGGGCGTGCGGGCGCCGCGGGGCGGAGGGGCCCGGCGCCCCGGCCCCGCGGGGCGCCTCGGCTCCGCGGCGGGGCTCCCCGAATCCGCCATTATAGTTATCCCAAGGGCTCCCACGAGGGCGCGATTCAATTCGCCATTCAATTTAAGTCGGGCCTGTCCCCTGCACAGGGGGAATATTCAGAGATAGTCCAAAAATGGCTTGTCTATTCTACGAAGCAGGAGGAAGGCGTCAGTTACCACTGAGGAGCGCGCGCTCGTCGTTATTTCGAACGACATCGCCACCAACGCCGAACCCGACGCTTGGTAAACGCGATTGTAGGTCCCAACCGCCTGAGGCCGCCTTCCACCGAACATAGTGGCAACGCCTGCTTTTACCTTCCTTCCGACGGCTACCTCGCCTTCTGCTGACCATAGGTCAACTTCGACCCTTGCCCCTTCCACCGCATTATCCCCCCCTCATGGCATCTCATCTTCCTTGTACTCCTCCACGCAGGGCCGCTTTCATTTAGAGCGCCAAAGTGTTAAAAGCAGCAGCGCTTCGCTTAGGCAGGCCCGTGCTAAGAGACTGGAATGGGCAAAGACACCAACCAGTTGTCAGTGACCAATGTCTAAGACGATTCGGGCAGGGCTGGTCTGGGATGGGGGGTGGGGGGTGGGGGGGGTGGGGGCGGTGGTGGTGGTGGAGGGCGAAGCACAAGCGCTCGCATGAGCACAAGCTTCCGGAGATCGCGCGGGAGGCCCTTGCGCAGATGTCCCCCCTTCGGCCAGCGCCTTGGCATCTTTATTTTTCTCCGGCAACCTGCCAGCATTTCGTTTGCAGGCGTTGGACTTTTTCATGTATTCGTAACCGGGCCATGTGCATGTTTTGCATCGTAGCAGTAGCGGTCAGCAGCGAGCTTGTGTGGTTGGAGCCATCGCCGCTACTTTTGACCCATCAGCGTTGCGTTTTGCATGCAGGTCTCGGACTTTCTCCAGTGATCCGTCGCCCAGTCGAAGTGAGAAACAAAACAACAACAACAACAAAAAAGGTGCGCATTGACGACATGTAGATCGAAATTTCGCGGACGTGTCGTCGGTAAAGTACTTGCGCCGTCTTGCTTCGCACGATAACCCATTCGAGCGCGAGCTCAACAACCGCATCCAGAAAGCGCGGGCAGCATGTGGAGCTCATAAGCAAGATTTGACCAGCAGGTCGTATCGTTCCGCTAGATCCGCCCCCGTTGATTATAGATTTTCGCTTCGGCGTTAAAGATAGCACAAAGGGGGTCCCTAATTGTTCCCCTCGGTTAAAGTGTCGGAGCTCCGCGCGGATTTCTTGGATCGGCAGCGCGCGCTCTGCGTGCCGGGGAGGGGAGTCCAGCGCCGATCCAAGGAATCCGCGTGGAGCTCCCAAGTGCAAGCTGACACGACGATTTGTTTCTCCACTCTAGTGGCACCCGACTCACTGGCGCCTCGGGGACCGGGAGGGTGTTGGGAAAATCAGCTGCGTGAGATGATTTGCGAAGCCCCCCCCTCGTCCGACCCGAGCGGGGCCGCCGCCCGAACGGAGAGGCGGAAGCCGAGCCTTGCTGCTCCGCCGGCGAGTGACCTACCCTCCTCCTCCTCCTCCTCATCCTCATCCTCCCCCTTCTCCTTCTCCTCCTCATCCTGCTGCCCCTCCTCCTCCTCCTCCTCCGCCTCCTCCTCCTCCTCCTCCTCCTCTTCCTCCTCCTCCAGTCGTCGTCGTCGTCGTCATCGTCGTCTTCCTCGTGTCGTCGTCGTCGGCACGCGGCGCTCGCGTGGCACGGGGCAGCCAAACCCAGGCACGCAGGCCGGCACTGCCCTTGCACGCCACGAGCGGCAGGCCAGGCATCACGAGCCGCTCCAGCCTGGGGCCTCCTCCCTCCTCCTTAATTCTCCTGCTCCTCCTCCTCCTCCTCCTCCTCCTCCTCCTCCTCCTCCTCCTCCTCCTCCTCCTTCCTCCTCTCCTCCTCCTCCTCCTCCTCCTCCTCCTCCTCCTCCTCCTCCTCCTCCCTCCTCCTCCTCCTCCTCCTCCTCTCCTCCTCCTCCTCCTCCCTCCTCCTCCTCCTCCTCCTCCTCCTCCTCCTCCTCCTCCTCTTGCGCGCTGCCGATTTTCAGCGGCACCCCACACTGGTGGGCCGCAGCCCGTACGGAGAGGCCGGGGCCCTGCTGTTCCGCGTGGGCATGTCGCTGTCCTGCAGGGACGGCATCGCGCGCGGGGAGAGCGACAGCGAGATCCGGGCGGCCGCTGGGGCTCCAAAGCGCGCCACGGGGGGGAAGGGGGGGAGGGCCGATCGCGGGTCCCGCTCAGGCCAGAGAAGGGGAGGCTGAGCACCCCGTCGTGGCCCCCGGAACGGGGGAAAAAGCGAACGTGGAAAACAAGGTAAAAACGGACCAGGCCCCAGGACGAAGCACACACCGATGGGGCAGGGAGGGAGAGGGTCCGAGGGGAAGAATCATAAACGTCGATCTCCAGGAAAACATTGGAAGCATGGGAAGTGGAGGGGAAGACGAGAAATATTTCAAATTCCGGGAGTTGGGGGATTTGTGTCTATTGTTTTGCGCGTCCTCCGGCCATTTTCAGAGGGGGGAGGCGGGAGCCCGGAGAGGGCAGGTCAGGAGCAGCGCTAGGCGGGGCTGGGCGCAGGGGGGCGCATTGTCCCCCAGCGCTCAGGCTCAACGGCGGGGCGGGAGTCAACCTTTAGGCTCAGGGGCAAGGTTCAGGCTCAGGGGGGGGGGGGTCGTCGGTTCGAGGTTCGAGGTGTTCGGGCGTTTTCGTTGGCTCTCGGCGGTGTTCCAACTTCGGGGTGCTCTCCAGCGGCTGCGCCTCGCCCATGCACGTCGCGGGGTCGCACGGAGCATCCCGGGCGGCCGCCGGAGAGCCGAGCTGTGGCCCAAAAAAGCCAGCCAGGGGTCCACGCTGGTGGCGTACAGACTCAGGGGGGGAGGGGAGGAGGAGGAGGAGGAGGAGGAGGAGGAGGAGGAGGAGGAGCGCCCGATCGCCTTTCGCCGCCCAGGGTGCATCGTCGCCCAGTCACCCACTGATCGCCGATATGTGCCCGACGGCGCCCCTCGCCCAGGAGCGTGCGCAGTCACTGTCGGGGGCCTATCGCCAATCTGTTGGCGACGCCCTGCCGAATACAGGTCGATGCTTCCCCCCATGGAGCTGGTTCCACAGCCTGGACAACTTCTGTAAGCAGGGAGCGGATGAGCAGGCTGAGCTGGTTGGACGGGAATGGGGCCACGTGGGCCCCGCCCCGCGGCGGAAGGGGCCGCGGTCGAGGCGTGTTTGGCAGCCCACATGTACCACTGCGCGCTGACGTAAGCGCGGTGCTCGAAGCCCTCGTCAAGCATGGATGCGGCCTGGGAGACAAGGGCGTGGTGAAGCGGGCCCATGGCATTGGCCGGGGCTGCCCCAGGGGCACTGCTGGTCGTCACGCGTTGCTTGGGAGGCGGGGGCTCCATGGACCCGGAGGCCGCCTCCGGACATGGCCGGGCGACGGCGGCGGCAACGGGGCGGTTTGGCGGCTTGGCATCGACGGGGAGCCGGGAGCCAGAGCGATTTGGACGAGGGGTCGGCGGCAGGGAGGGCGATGTCCGTTGGCTGTCGCCCCCCGGCTCTGCAGGGCGCCCGCGGGAAGCGCCCCCAGAGCCGCGGACGCCGCGCACCCTGGGGAGCGAGAGGGGCCACACAGAGGAGGTCGCGCGGCCGCGGGCCCCTGGGCTGTTCCTGGGGAGGCGCCCCCCGCGGAGGAGGCACAGGAGCGCGGCGGTGTCCTGGGGCCCGCGCAACAGGGCCCGCCGCTGCTGCGGTCGCGCAGCCCGCCACCCACACCGCTAAGGGGGGAGACCGCGCGAGCCGCCCCGGCGGAGAAGTCGCCGGGGGGCGAAATGCACTGGCCGCCGCCGCCGGGGGACCAGCGACGAAGGCGGCCAGGGAGGCGGGGCTGCGGGCGCTCAAGGAGCATTCCAGAGCGGCGGCCTGCGGCTCGCGGCACCCAGGGGGACGGGCGCCCGAGGCGACTGAAGCCTTCGGTGGAGCTCCCCAGGGGGCTACGAAACGCGTTCTGGGTGGCGCGGGACGCTTGTGGTCTCAGCCATTAGGGCTTTCGGTGGAGCTCCCTATGGGGCCACGAAACGCTGTACTGGGTGGCGCGGGACGCATGTGGCCACAGCCACTGAGGCCTTCGGTGGAGCTCCCTCTGAGGCCACGAGACGCAGGACTGGGTGACGCGGGACGCATGTGGTCACAGACATTGGGGCCTTCAGTGATGCTCTCTATGGGGCCACGGAACACTGTGCTGGATGGCGCGGGACGCATGCGGTCACAGCCATTGGGGTCTTTTGTGGAGCTCCCTAGGGGGCCACGAAACGCTGTGATGAGTAGCACGGGACGCATGTGGTCACAGCCACTGGGGCTTTCGGTGTGGCTCCCTATGCGGCCACGAAACGCAGTACTGGGTGGCGCGGGACGCATGTGGTCACAGCCACTTGGGCCTTCGGTGAAGCTCCTTACGGGGCCACGGAACACTGTACTGTGTGGCGCGGGACGCATGTGGTCACAGCCACTGGAGCCTTCGGCGAAGCTCCCTAGAGGGCCACGAAGCGCTGCACTAGGTGCGCCGAAATGGTGGACATGCAGAGGGCAGAGGCAAGGGCGGGAGGAGGAGGAGCAGGAGGGGAGGAGGAAGGAGGAGAGGAGAGGAGACGCGGGGCGCTGTCACTTCAAAAACGAGAACCCAACACCACAGGATGGTTGGGAAACAGAGGGCGCGCT